TGCATTGCGTATGCCATTGCCTCGGTTTGCGTGCCCGTGTGCACGCATTTCGAGGCATCTCATTTTCACAGCATAGTGCATACTAGGTTGTATCTTAGATCGCATTCATGCATTTCCTCGGTTCGCGTGCCTGTGTGCACGCATTTCGAGGCGTCTCATTTCCGTAGAATTGTGTATGTTAGGATTGTATCTTAGTTACATTTCATGCATGTCATGCATATTGCACTGTGTTCGGAATAGGAGTTAGCCCGGACACGGGAAACGAGGTGCATTTCTTACTCTGAGTGACGGAATGTGTCTCAATTCCCCAGTCACCGACACTCCGGATCATCCATGATGGAGTTAGGTTTTAGCTGTGTTTTTCATGTGCATTCATCCTATATTGAATTGTGCAATTCGACTCGGCCATCATGCCTCGGTATGCGTGATTGGTGGCATGAGGATCGAGGCATGCATATATCTGTGAAAATACATTGCTATGCCCCATTCCTTGCTCTCTGTTGCAGCAAAATGAAGAATCAGCAACTTTTTGGAGTTTGGCACGGCTTTCCAACAACAAACTTTAAGCATGGAAAAACAATAACTTGTTTTCTTAGTTAATTCTTTAATTAATTAAGAATTTTGTAATATTTTGGACTGTAATATTCTTTTATTTGGGGACTGTAATATTTGGACTGTATTATTTATTCGGACCCTCCGAGTGAGGGCACAACTGTAATAAGTGTGGGTGAGTGTGATGCATGTCTTCCAATCCCACGTCTTTCTCCCTTTTATTTATCTGCTTTTGATGGTTAGATTAGGGCATATTTTAATTAGCATACAGTATGACAGCATGTTTGCATCATTCATCTGTATTGCATGCACCGGGCTCGGCGCACCATACTAACTGCATTATACTTTCAATTCCAAATTGAATACATGTTAGTTGTAGCATTCCATATGCCATGTTTAGAATAGCCGAGCCTGCTATAGTTGCATCTTTGCATGTGTTGCATTAGGCATTTCTGTATACTTGGGATCATGCATGCTTTCTAATGTAGTTTCTATTTTGGCTTGGAGTACTCGGTAAGCTTTATGCTTTAGCATCCTTGCATGCGTATGAGTGAATGCCATAAATAGCATGCTTACCATGAGGCTAATTTCTTATATGATATAACTGCCTGAATGCCTGTGGGTGAAGGTTGGGTTACTTGAATTGGAATAAATCATCAACTGTTTGTTTTAAAGCCCACTAGATAGTGGCGAAACCATCTTTTCTAAGCCCACCTGAGGGTGGCAAAACCTGCATTTTAAGCCTACCTGCGGGTAGCAAACCATCTTTCAAAAAAAGCAAATATGAAATGTTTTGTTCCAATTCAGATGACTCGGTCTATACTTGTATGTTGCGCGCATCACATAGTAACCTAGGCTAATAACCGGAATAAGAACTCACAATGTTTTCAAAAATAGATATCATGGTTAGTAGAGGCCGGTCTATGACCGGGCGAGCGGGGGTGCTCACGAAGTGACCTTCCCCAATCGTACCCAAGTTCCCGAGCCGAGGCAACTTTGGTGATGACGGACACGTGGCCTTTTGGCACCGAGTCAGGGTTTCCTAAATTTCCCAAAATAAAATATTTAGGTGGCGACTCTGTATCTGGTAAAGCAGTCCATGTTTGGCACTTCTTTCAAAAATCTGTTTTCTCAAAACGATTTGCCGGATTTGGACTCTTTGGTTCAGACTTAGAACCGTGACTACGAATCGAGTCCGAGCTGTAGCGAGGTCCCCCGCGGGCTTGTCTACAACATGTCAAGACATGATGGTTCCTAGTAGTGGAGAGGCTACTGATCATATGTCAAGACATGATGATTCCTAGTAATGTAAGAGTCTATTGATCCTATGTCAGGACGTTGTGATTCTTAGTAGTAAAGTGACTATTGATCATGTCAAAACATTGTGATTCCTAGTAGTAGAAAGTCTACTGACCACATGCTGAGAAATTAGTGATTTCTAGTGATAAGACTACTAGCCATGTTATGAAGTTCCGAATAGTAGACTGTTGAACACTGAATTTATGTTTCCTAATAGTAAGACTATTGGCTTCAGAGTGACATGTTGGACTGAACTTGTTTTGGTGCCTTGAATTCGAAAAAGACCTAATTTGGTTAATGACGGTCTGGGAGTATGTTTTCTGTGATATGATTTTGAGAGTTTCATAATCATTGTGACACATCGAATTGTTTAAAGACCCTATATGAATTTTTGGAGAGGTCAGGAGCCATCGTATAAATTCTACAAATGTGGGGGTGTCATGTAAAAGGTGGCAAATATGGGGGTGTCATGCAAAATGTAGCAATACCTAAACTCAAGATGATTAGGATAAGCCTTAAAATCCATTAACTTTGTATGCAACGATTATGCACAATATACTACTGCATATCAGTTTTTTATGTGGACAAATCTGATATTCAGATTTTCACAAGAATATTATTATGAAATTAAGAAAGCGATTTTCATGAGAAAAGAGATGAGACTAGAAGATGTTAATATACTAGGACTTTAAAGCTTCTATCTAAATCTTCTTAAACCTACATGGTGGCTAGTAAGACTAAAAGCTTCTTTGAAGCTGTGATTTCTCTAGAAAATTTAACTTTATCTTGCATAGGTAGTAAGCCTTGGGATGCAAGTGAATGAAAACCGATGAGATAGGCTTGTTATCAAAGGATACCAGCAAAGAATAGGCCTGGATTACTTTGATACGTAATCACCAGTTATAGTGAATGTGATCGCAATTGTGCGACATCTAGAAATACATCAAGATGGATGTTTAGATAGCTTTCCTATATGAAGATTTAGTTGAATAAATCTTTAAGGTTTGAATACTTGAGAAGACATTCAATACTACCAAGTGGATGTTGTATTCTAAGTTTGATATGAAAGATATGGGCATTATAGATGTGATTCTGGGTATTAAGATTACTAGAACATGTGGTAGTATTGTACTTTCTCAGTCTTATTATGTTGATAAGATAATTGAGAAATTTAGTAAATCAGATACAAGTGTGTCGAGGACAGTGGTAGACTTATGTCTGCATTTGGCCGAGAATAATAATAAAAGTGTATTTCAACTAGTATATTCTCGGGTCATTGGAAGTTTAAAGTATCTGATGAGTTGTACAAGGCTAGGTATAGCCTATTTAGGTAGCAGGCTTACATGAGTAATCCTAATGTTACTCATTGGAAGGGCATTATGCAGGTGTTGGATTATTTACACTACACCCAAGATTATGGGTTGCATAACACTCGATATCTAGTTGTACTAGAAGGGTACTGTAACGCCCCAACCCTTCACATGTCATCGATATTGTCCGCTTTTGGCCACGCCCGCACGGATTTGTTCTTCTAAGTGGGTCACCCATCCCAGAACTACTCCAGCCTAAGCACGCTTAACTGGGGAGTTCTGCTAGTGATTTCACCACTCGGGAAAAGGCCTCGATGCTATATAAGGGTCCAGATTTTTACTTTTATAGCCCAAGAACTCTCCCTCCATTCCCGATGTGGAACTCCGGGACCTTACAATCTACCCCCCTTAGGGCTACACGTCCCCGTGCAGTAGCCTGCCAACTCACAAGCCCGCCCACATGCACCGAGAGACGTCAGGGGCCCATACTCGATACTCCAGAAAGTCGGCTCTGATACCATTTGTAACGCCCCAACCCTTCACATGTCATCGATATTGTCCACTTTAGGCCACGCCCGCACGGATTTGTTCTTCCTAGTGGGTCACTTATCCCAAAACTACTCTAGCCTAAGCATGCTTAATTGGGGAGTTCTGCTAAGGATTTCAACACTTGGAAAAGGCCTCGATGTATAAAGTGTGTATTGGTAGAAAATATAGATAATTTTTCTCTCTTAGCCCCATTTCATAGTTGCATACTTGTCATATGAGTGGATTCTGTTAAAGATTTAAACAATGGAGTAACAGAAGGGGAATATTGACACCTATGTAGGGACAAAAGTGAGATTTGACCAAAAGTGCAGGGGTTGACTGTCACAATTTCATGTGAAGATATCAAAGTGGAATTTGACCAAAAGTGCCGGAGGTTAACTGTCATAATTTCATGTATAGGGATCAAAATGAGATTTGGTGCAAAGTGTAGAGGTGTAAAGTGTAATTTACCCTTTTATAAAACAAAGTGCAATTTGTTATTAAGTTTATAGTTATCCAATGAAACTAATTTTTTGCATTCATGACTTTTATTGCGGGGCTTAAAAGATAGATGGTTTATATCATTGGTGCAGATCCGAATTAGGCCCGCAAAAGAAGTATTGAGGGGCGTGAGGAAACAAAAGTATGGAAGGGAGCTCATCTATTATTCACACACTGAAAGTGACCAATTGGTTTTTTTTTTTTTTTTTTTT